CCATTGTTGTTGTGATACTGTGTCGCGCATGCGTGTTTAGAGGCGACGCTATGACGCATGCGTGTAAGAAAAAAAATGCGGTGAGAGCTTAAAGATGGAAACGCGAAAACGGCGTTTCAAAATCTTCCCACTCTGAAGGCTTGATAAAAAAAAGATTGTTTACAGACCCCCGAAATGCTTCGTATGGATGAGAGGCTGGTTTGGTGAAACATTTGTGCGTTTAGGCCAGGGTTCGGCTTCGTGTGGACGGGGCCTAAGTCAGAGACTACACCAAAGAGGGACTCTAGGAAATAGAACAAAATTTGCCATACGAAAGACTGTTGTGACCCGAAAAATAAAGAGGTTTCCAGAAAGGATATGAACCCCTGATTTTCCCTTCTAATGTTTTCATAGACATGTTAATTTAACACAATAGCAGTAAACGGGGGGGGGGGGGGGGGTGCTGATAGGGAGACAGATAAAAAGCACAGGCAGCGCTCTTGAGTGTGCATCCACCAGGGAAACGGAAGATATGCAACAATTAAGCTGTCAGCCACACGGCCAAATTCTCACTAATAAAGAGCCTCTTAATATGGGAATCCCACTCAGCCTATTGGAAGGCTCATCTCACACTACGACCATTAAACATCCCTAACCTTATTACTCTGTTACAGTCAAAGTTAATGAGAGGTTCAAACCTTCACAATAAATGAGCAAATTGCTCCCCTGAAAGGAACATTATAAGCAATGAAGGGTTTTCTCTTTAAGTCTACTTAAACAACCATGGAGTAAAACTGACTTTTTGTAGAAGCATTAAAGTCTATAGTAACATCAGAATGGAGCTAGGCCACATCAGTTACCATTTCTGCTTCAAAAGCCTTTTTCATAAATAATATTTCCTCTGCTAAGATTGCTCTTTTTGTATGAACTTAAATGACATTTCAAACTTGGCTGAAACTTGCTGTTGCTCACATCTTCCCTTGTTCCATCGGCTCAGCAGCTTACATCTTAGAGCTGAAGAATGCGACAACATATGGGTGTTTATTTCAGTGAATATGGAAACAGTCAAACCACAAGGTTTCTCTGCGTGGGAGGAGGAAACCAGAGCGAGTTTCCAATCCGCCTCTGTAGTATGAGAAAAGCCACTCTTACGTTTATTTGTGCAACCGGCTGCAGCTATAAGTAAATCAAACCTAAGAGAGGGAGGTGGTGTCAGGCTCTCTCAGAAGAAATCAAAAGTTCACGTGCCAGCCAGCAGGCGGCATTGTTTCACATTTTTTATTTTGGGGAGGGAGGCGAAGTTAGAGTATGAATTTGGAATGTTTCATTTGCTGCGTTTTAAAATATACTGCTAAAAAAATAAAACATTAGTAGAAGAAGCTAACATGTTGAAATTAATTTGCATCTGCTTTGTTTTTTGTTTTTTTTGTTGCTTTTCTCTTTAAGATTCTTACATTTATGAAGATTGATGGACTCACCCTCCACTAGTGTTCCCGTTTTTGCTGAGATGGGTGCGAGGCTCGCTGGAGGCCAACTTCAGAAGCTCGTTCCACTCTCTCTCCCATTCCTCCTCTGTGTAAACTAGTCCTGACTGCACATAAACACAACACCAACATTTCAACAATGATTAATCATCATGCCACTATATACAAAGCTAATGTGATCCTTTGTAATGAAATAATCAGGAAACTACCAGTTTTTATTTACATTTTGTCTACAATAAGCCATATTTCGTGAAAATCATTTAAATTGCGAAAGATTAGTAGATTTCAAAAATGTTTTCAGTGTTTCATGCAAAAAAAATGACAAATGACATACATTATAGTAAAAATTGTAAGGTTTAGGTCTAATGATGACGAAAAACTACATTTTCAACAAATCTAAAAAAGCAAATCAATCAAGCTCACCTTAAAAGAAAGTCTAGCTATGTTACCAACTACATTCTAGAAAGTAGATTAAATGGTGGTAGGTGGCCTAGTGGTTAGGACATAGAGCTTGGAATCCTGAGGTTCTCAGTTTGAGCCCCACTCTCACAGACTGCCACTGTGGGTCTCTGAGCAAGACCCTTAACCCCCCATTGCTCCCCACGATGGCAGCCCACTGCTCCCCAAGGGGATGGGTTAAATGCATGGGTAAATTTCTCCAATGTGAGATCAATAAAGTTCAATAATTTTTACCAACTTAACAATGTTGTATTAGTCTCTTTTAAAAGAAGTTTTAATTTTTACTCGAAGTCAATCTAAATCACTTACAGTAACCTGAATTATTGACCAGCGAAAATCAGTTTAATTTGTCTTTTTTCCTGCATCAAAATAGAAGTCATAGTTTTATGTTAGCATTGATAACATTATTGAAGCAGCAAAATTATGTAATGATAATTTTCCTTTTGAAGGAGTGGCATTAAGATAAGTTTATACAGTTTAGCTTGAAATGCTTGCATAAATACGGGTATTTTATCCTAAAATGTTTCAGACGTCCCTTCCTAAACTTAAACCAGAACACCTCCTTTCTTTGGATGCATCTTACATACCTGGCACCCCTGGAACACATTTGTAAACATAAACATCTGGACCTCTTTGCTAAAGCAACATTATCTTTGGTGTCACACTGTTCAAAGTGTATTAGGAAAAAAAATTACTTCAATCCAACATAAGAGCATCAGGAAAAGGCAGAGGAAGTGCAGTGGATTTGGCAGGATTAGTTGAACTGCTAGAGCATCATGTCCACTTAGAATCCCAGAAAACCATTTTTTTTTAAGGAAGTGGGGATCAGTTGAGTGTAATTGGAGCCTTTTAAACCAGAGGTTTTCCGTAGCTCATCTGCTGCTTTGCTCTTATTAAAACATCATTTATAGAGACAGTTTTACTATTTAGCACTAGTGGTTTGACTCCATTAAATTTCTTGATCAAATCAGTCACAAGGTCTGTGGTTCATTAATTGCAATTAATCTCATTTTAATTAAAAAAAATATATATCAACAAAATAAAACACCTGTTTCATCTAAAATCCGTACAGAAAAAATAAACATATCACCATAGCAACACATATATTTAATGTTTCTAATCCATGGTTTTATTTAGGTTACTCAGTCATCAAACTGGTTGAAAGTTTTCATAATTTAGATTTTTATTAGGAACCCCATATATTTTAAGCAACTTATTTGAAAAACTACTTTTATAGAACCTTTTTTATAAAAAAAAAAAACAAAGCTGTCATATGTGGACGCACTGTAAATACTGTATATATCCAATGCACCTTTTTCTTCCTTTGGCGTATTCTTGTCTCTTTTGACTATTTGAGCAGATGTAACGAGTACATTTCTCCACTGTGAGATCAATAAAGTCAATCAATCAATAAAGTATTCATGTACAGGATTTTGAATAGTCCCGTCACTGAAATGGTGATCAATGAGTTGATCGTGATTAATGAGCTAAAGGTTTTCTAGGGTGGACTCTTGCCGAACCTCCTTGTTCTGCTGCGTTTGTTGCCACCTCCACCTCCTCTTCAGAGCGTCCCTCTCTGCTCCATTCTTCATCATGGCGTACAAAGATTTCCTCAGCATCAGGTCTCTGTCATGGAAGCCCCACATCCCTAAAAACAGACAAAAACATGCGGCTTCATTTGAAATTTCAGGTGAACTTGGACAGAGAAAAAAGGTTCAACTCCTTTAACTCTGCAAAGGTTGTCCTTAAGATGTCTTTTAGAGATGACCTCTGCTTCTTAACTAAGACCGTCCTCCTCAGACAGAGCTTGTCAAACCAGATTACATTAACTTTCATGCTTCTAGACCTCAGCTACCATTAGAGTCCTAACACTGGGGTGTAAAGAATCTGAGGAGGCTGTCGTCTCTTTAGCAAAATGTACAGGTGAGTTACTTCACCCTCCTTTTTATCCCTAAAGCTGAACGCTAGACTTTTACACCATTAGCTGCTATATTTGCTTCTAAAGTTGTTTTAGTGCAGCAAAACCTTTCAAAAGAAACCAGTCTTGTCCCCCAGTCCTAAATTTAATTAATTAAATATTCTAAGAATTATTTTTTTTGACATTTCTTTCTTCGGTTAGGCCCCTCAACAGTATGTATTTTCTCTTCATACGTTCACATGACCAATACACAGTTTTAAAAACACAGCATTCAACTATTGTCACCCATTTTAAGTCTTGCAATGCTTAATCTGCTTATATTTATTTATCACCAGGTTCTTACATAAGTGCAGTTATTTATATGGGTAAAAATGATCAAGTATCCTTCTACAAAGATTAAGATATCTTAACCTGTCTTAAAAATAAATACAGCAAAATATGTCTGAGAAAAATCAACTGGAAACAAGCAAGATCGTCAGATTTTATGATTGAAAGAAGGATGGACACAGTTTTAGCTTCTGGTAACTTCTAAAAGGATCTTTGATCCAGTTTCAAACTTCAACCACTGTGATTTAATTAGAAGTAACAGTTATGGCTTCTGTATTCTCTTGTTTCCAATGTGAGCATTGGAGCGTCTGACAATAAAAATGTGTTACAATTCTGACATGGATTTTGTGGTGACTTCATATAATGTATACAGTATATTTACTGCAATAGATTATAGATTTATTGCTAAAACATTACGACTTTTATTTACATGACTGGATTTCCTCTGTAATCTCCCCACCACTCCCTCTGGCATCAGAACCAGCAAAGTTACATTTACAAGGTTGAAGTAACAAAATATTAGCAAATAAAAAAAAATGCCGTGGGAGATCTATAGTATAAAAGTAAAAAATAATCCATAGTTTAACTTATATCTTTGATATAGGCATTGTATTAAGTCAAAATCAGCTACAGTTAGACATGTTTACCTAGTTTATAATCTTATAGAATACAACCACTGTGAAAACGATCTAAGATTGATGCTTTGTCAGACCTATTCCACAGTTATTCTAGAGTCAGGTATTATTGCAGATGGGAATCCACCTCCTTAAATAGTAAAGCTCCATGAAAGGGTTTTTGTTAGTGTCTCACCTAAAGAAGCAGCATGCAGGAGGCAGTTTCCATCCCCCGTAGTGGCCAGAGGAAGAAGCTTCTTACAACTGGTGCACATGGTGGACCACCAGTTCAGGCGCCCTGAACACAAATTAAAAAATGCAAATTACAGCGATGGGTTATGGTATTCAAGAGTGTTCTAAACGCCATAAAACCATAAAAGCTCTATTATATAATCAAAATTATGAAGAAAAAAAAACAAATATTAAAAAGTGAATATTAGGGAATAATGTTGTTAAGCTTACAACAACGATAGCAAGACAGATTTTGTAACCTGACGAAGGACTAAAAATACATTTTAACATTAAGCTGTAATCAAATGCTGACAATTATGTTTGAAATGTAATTTAGTTTTAAAATAAAGTTTGTATCTATTATTAGCTGATGCAATGTTTACGTGCTATAAGCTGAACTCATTTGCTTCTTAGAGCTTTAACTTAAAACAGATTTAGCATGAGTTATCATTATTTAAAGAATTAAATGAAATTAATACATTTGTTTCTTTTAAATATAATAAAATGTTTTTTTTTTTGTTTTTTGTTTTTTATCATCAAGATCCACCATTGAGACATTTAGGAGAGAACTAACCCTACCCCCCTTCATAAAGAGCTTGGTCTTTATAACTGTAAATCTTAATGATGGCATGACACCTAGATGTGCATCATCACTTGATACAAGTCAAATGGAGAACAAAAGGAGAAAAAAAAACTGCTTCACACATTGCAGTTTGCAGATGCATCTGTAGGTCACATTTCTTTTATTGACTATTTAACGGACATTTGCATACGGAGTCTGCATGTGCGTATGTACTGTATAACCACAGCAGTCTCTCAGAAACCACTTTAAACATTTTTTTACCTAGTTCCCTCACTTTTCTAAGAAAACAGAGAGAGCTATGTTAGTTTCAGAGCCTTGAGCTCTGCATGCTGGTTTCCTGCAGGTGGACCGCACCACTCTAGATAGGGCTAATCTGGATCCATCATTTATTTAACACCCATAAACATGGAGGAATGCCTAAGCCCCTAGTATGGTCACAATTAAACTGCACATGTTCTCTAGCCATTTTATTTTTTCATTTGCAGCTCTTTATTTCTCAGCTAAAATCACTTCCTGTTTATTTATGGTGTTTGCATCAATGAAAAGTCCACATGCAATGCATACGGACAAATAGCAGATGTAGAGAACAGCAAAAGCGGGGGCACTTAACTGTATCACTTCTGGATGATAAAATTATGCTTTTACATAAGGTATATGATATGTTTTTATTGTTTTACAAACAGGGTCTATTTTTGTGCCAAAATCTTTAATATTGTAGATTTAGCATTCACTTGTATAAATGCCTTACTGGTTAAATAGGCCGAAATGTGGCTTCTTTGGTTGTTTTTCCATCAAAGTAAGAGGATTTCATCTGCAAGATTTCAAACTTTGTGGTACTCTTCTCTCCTTCAGCTGTGGAAGTGTCATCTGGGATATAAACCCTTTGGGATGTGGAATGCTTTGAATTAGCTGTTGTCATCCTCCCTTCCAGATGATACTGCTCTGATCTGTTCTGTATCACTGGGTCACTCTCATCCTCTGCATCTGTCATCATCTCAGACTCTTAATGGAATTTTTATTGCTTCAGCTCTGTTTGGTTTCAGTTTCATTTCAATGAAAAAAAAAAATAATAAAAAAAAAAACACCTTTTCTTGTAATATACTAAAAGTATTTTGGGTAGGTCTCTACTAGCTTGCATATTCAGAGACAGAAGTCATTGCAAATTTTGGACCATTTAACACATATGTTAAACTGCACCATTCTATAGTAGCTCGGACTGTATGTTCATGTTGTCTTGATGGAGGTGAACTTCTGGCTTCAAGTGTTTTTCAGCATCTAATGGATTATCTTCAGGTACTGGCAATGAATTAAATTCTACCCATCTGCAACATTTAACAGATTTTCCCACCTGAGCTGCAGCTCCTCCAAGGTCACCATGGTATGAAGTAAATTTCGTTCATCATTGTTGCAAGAATTTTAATTTGAGTAAATACAATATGGAAATACATTTTTTAAAGTTTTAATAAACAAAAAAGTCTTTGCTGTTTACTCCGATTTTTCTTTTTTCTAATGTATTTTTTTCAAACTTTTTCACAGATTTTATATTTTCACATTGTTTTTATTGACTTTTATGAACTGCATACTTTTTATAAAATCACTTCTAAGGGCAGGCTGTCCTCTGGTGTGAGGAATGTAGACATTTTTATGGGCTTTACCAACAACATTGTATTGATCGATGGCGCATCAAGATTTAGTACTGGACTTTAGATAAAGAGAACATAATCTGTGAAAAAACAATTTGAAAAAAAAAATTAAATTTTAAAAACCCAATCTTGAAAACTAAAACTTGAAAAAAAGAAGATAAAATCTCTAAAAATAAAAGGAAACATTTTTCAAAGTTAGACTCCTGAATTGCTTCTTTTTTTTCTTCTCAAGTTAAAACATGTTGATTTTACTTTATTTAACGTTCATTTAAAAAACGTGTTCTACACTGGAAAAAAATCCAAATCTAGATAAGTCATTTTTTTCTCAAAATAAGTGCATTTGTTCTTGAATTGAGGAGGTAAAAGAGACATTTTTGCCAATAGAACAAGAAAATTTAGATTTAAAATAAAAAAACACAATATCTTACGGTATTTTAAGAGTAAAAATAGTCATTCCATTGGCAAATTATCTCATTTATTACTACTCATATTAAGGTTAATTACCCTTAATTTAAGAATTTTTAACTTATTTTTAGATTTTTTTTTTCCAGTGCATGCTTTCAACACCGGTGGAACAAAATTCCCTCAATAGCTTGGCTGCTTCTCCTTGCCCGCCCTGTCCAGTTGGATTAAACATCCAGATTAGCACAAGCTAAAATGCTTCCATTTTAAGATGATGGGTGTTACAGTACTCAGAGATTTTTAAGGCTTATTTTATAGTTGTACAGTATGACCTATCTTTGCTTTAAACTTCTCCACACCTTCTTGCCATTTTATTTGGGCTTTATGTGTATTTTTGTTAGCTAATGTTCTCTAACAAACCTCTAAGCATGTTTTTACTGGATTGATTTACTGGATTTAATTTAGAAATAAAAGGCTCAACTTTGTGTTGCTCTTTTGCATAAAATGGCTGTAAAATCCCAATGGAATAAATGGTTGTAACACAACAAGAAGTCCCTCACATTATACGCCTCCATGGACTTACCCGCCTGTTCCAGAGCCATCATGGTGGACTGCTCTATCAGATCCCTCTCTATGAAGCTCCTAAAGTCCTCGCTGTAGACACTAAGGTCGGGTAGCTGGAATGTGTAAATAGGCATCTCAAGAGGGAACTGCTCGCTGGTGCACTCGTTTGCCACCTGCAGCCGCGCCAAGGAGACGATAGCAGAGCTGGCGTGGGAGATCCCACGGGACAGACGCTTCTCTATAGGCAAACACAAGCAGGATCGTACTGATAAGACGTAAGCTGAGTTTCATGGGAAAAAAAACACCAACCTAATGTTGATGCGGCTTCATACCTTGTGCATTGTCCTCCTGCTTCTGCACACACGACCTGTCGATCTTGCTGACTCGGGTGGGTGTTTCACGTGTCTCTGGCTGCTTATAGTAGCGGCCCTCATTGAAGACCTGTGGCAGGTTGGCAGTATGGACCTGCCTGAGCTCCTCATAGTCATTCAGAGCAGCACTCAGGTCCCAGTTTTTACCTGCAGGACAAAGCCAAAATCAGCCTCTTATAACAAGCAAAAAAAAATAAATAAATACTCTATATAGTTTGATTTTATTAAAATCTCAAACATGCATAGATTTTAGTGTGCAAGGGAACACCACTGAAGTTTACAGTAAACATGCAGATAATGTAGATAAGTCGGTTTTCTGTAAAAATAAACAAATAAACCCATCATTGTTGACCAGCTTTTTTTGCATTTCCATCCTTTGAATAATTAAAATAATGACAAGTTTTGATTTTTAAATTAGTATTTTTATAAGACACATCAGCACACAGCTACTTCACAAATTCAAAGCTCCTCTAATAGAAAACCTTGCAGCATTTTATCTAACCAGATTTTGAGGCCAGGTGTTTGCACAAATCTAAAGTCAGTGAGGGAGACAGAACCTTCAATATGGTGACAGCGATGTCCCAACATGCACAAAGAGACACGCACAGCCGTCTCCTCTGGGTTCTGTGTCTTAACAGAAATCCCCTCAAGGTTTTAAACAAACAAGTCAGTTTTTTTTTTTATGTCCCTCAGCTCCCTTTTTGACCATGGACACAGGATTTATTCACCATAAGATAGAAAATAAGCATAGAAAATGCTGATAAACAACCTGGGTGTGTTTGTGAAACAGCATCTGCTAATGATCTCACTGTGAAAGAGCCGAGAGAAGGAAGACGTCGACCTTCCAGACAGGATGTCTCTCTCTGAGAGTCTGAATATGAAAACAAGTCCTGCTAACCAGCAGCTCTCACAGCCATCAATGCAAAACCCATTTCACAGAATGGATTCCAGCAGCATGAGCTACACAAACACAGGCCTAAAACAAGCAGTCCAGCCCGGCAGACATTCACCACTTTAATGCATCACCTTTAAATGCTTAAATGGAAAGCTTTCTTTCCGGACTTTGATTGATATCTGGTGCAGACATGCTCTGCTGAAGCATTAAAATACATCATCGCCATCCATTAGAAACCCTTCAGATGCACTCAACTCTAGATTCTGATACTAGAGATGAAGCATGGACTGGTTTCAAGGTTATACCAAGGTTTTAAAAAACTTATAAAAAAAAACTCTATAATACCCTTCCTTCATATCAAAGTCTTTCTTGATATTAGCTTAATGTTAACCCAAAGCCAATGCCATAAGCTAAAAGAAGAGCTCTAAACTTACAATTACAGACCAAATCAGGTTTTGGAAAATATTTCCAAATGTCAAAAATACAAACGGTCGCAGTGAGGAGACTGAAATATTAAATCAATCAATGAAACAACAGCATCTTAAAGCTGCAGTTAACCAACATGGAGTCTGTTAGGGGTCTGAAACTAAAGCAGACAACAGTAAACTGATCTATTTAGCTTTTCATTTTATATATTAATTTTCTAATTTAACATATATTACTAAATATTTGCTTGCAATGTAAATAAATATTTCCAGGGATGCAACTAACGAGTATTTTGCAAATCGATTTCTCTGTCGATTATTTTTTTGATGAATTGCTTAATAATTAGAGAGCTAAAGGTTCCTTAAAGAAGACTTTTAATGAAATGAAACCAGGCAAAACTAAAACTGCACTTGAGGAGTTCTGGATGGAGCATACTGAGAGATGAAAAAGATTTTTATCTTAATGCAAAAGGTTTACATATATTTTTTTTTTTACAATTTTGGTATAATTACTGCTCTAAGTGGGTCGCTCTGTCAGCTAAAGGCTTCTTTTAGAGTCTCTATACTCCATTTAACAATTAATCTATTACTAAATTAGTTGATTATTTCAATAATCGATTAATAGCGATTCATCCGATCAATTGCTTCAGCACTAGATATTTAATTATTAAGACCATAGTAACCAATATGTTTAATTATTTTATCAGCAGGGGGANGGAACACCTGATTCCAATAATTTGGATGGGTGAGCAAATACTTTTGGCAATATAGTGTATATTACTAAATATTTGCTTGCAATGTAAATAAATATTTCCAGGGATGCAACTAACAAGTATTTTGCAAATCGATTTCTCTGTCGATTATTTTTTTTGATGAATTGCTTAATAATTAGACAGCTAAAGGTTCCTTAAAGAAGACTTTTAGTGAAATGAAACCAGGCAAAACTAAAACTTTTGCACTTGAGGAGTTCTGGATGGAGCATAGTGAGAGATGAAAAAGATTTTTATCTTAATGCAAAAGGTTTACATATATTTTTTTTTACAATTTTGGTATAATTACTGCTCTAAGTGGGTCACTCTGTCAGCTAAAGGCTTCTTTTAGAGTCTCTATACTCCATTTAACAATTAATCTATTACTAAATCAGTTGATTATTTCAATAATCGATGAATAGCGATTCATCCGATCAATTGCTTCAGCACTAGATATTTAATTATTAAGACCATAGTAACCAATATGTTTAATTATTTTATCAGCAGGGGGAAAAAAGCTGATTAAACTGATGTTTTGACACGGCTTCTTGAAATCACAGCATATAAATGCTTGGAAAGCATATGATAATTTACTTATCAATATCTACTATCAACTGTTGTAAAAACCAATGACAAAAAAAGCCTCAAATTTGACCAGAAAAGGTCTGTGTAAATTAACAGGGGGTTCAATACCTAAAACGGCCTCCAGAGAGCGCCACATGTAGCACAATGGCCTCATCCCCCTCCTAGCTGGGACCAGAATGCATCAGAGCAGCTGGTCAATCAACACAGGTCTCTGTCAATGCACATCCTAAAGGCTGAGCTAAAAATCAGGGGCAAAAATAAACCGAGACGGGACAATCAGGGCTTGTGTCTGAGTTCATCGTCTTGTTTTAATGTCTTCTAGGGTCACACATATTTAGCTGAGTCTTTGCTATAAAGCAGGTTTTAACAAGGGGGGAGATTTAAGACACTTAAAAAAAAAACACAGATGCATTTTATGAACACAGATGAAAAAAGTGTCCAGGATGCATATCTAGGAAAAAAAAACAAAAAAAACTCAGAGAACTAAAATTAAATTTTAAACGTTTGATATCGAAGCTGACCTAACTGACCCTCATCCAGCTTTCTGTTGTTTCTTTTATCAGAAGCCCTCTGCTCCTCAGTGAATGGACACAGAGCTCCTCTTTGGTAGCTGCACTTGTAAAGCCGTCACTCCTGCCTCTAAATTAGCAAACAGCATTACAGGTTCTTCTCCTCCCATCCTTTGTTTTTGTCATCTTACTTCCTTCTCATTCCCCTCACTTTTTTTCCCTCCCTTCCATCTCTGATTTATCTAAACACAGAGCCTTACCTTCCAGCAGGTCTCTTGCCAGACCCGGTTCTGCCCCCGTGGACCGAACAAAGTCTGACAGGACCGCGTCCATGTCCAGAGTCATGTGATCATGTGTGTGCGCTGCCCAAGGTGCAGCGGTGGCCTTGGTGGACGCCAGCCTTCACGTTCTCATCTGGGAGCAAACAAAGCAGAGAAGGAAACCTAAGAAGAGTCGAGCACCTTGTTTTACAGTAAACTGCTTAGCCACACCTTGAAGATCTCATCCCTGACGAGCCCCTGTGAGAAAACAGGAGTGGGATTGCCTCGTCTCTTATTTCAGTCCTGGCTTGGGCCTGTTTGTACCGAGGCATAATGCTTCATCAAGTGCTCCTGCCAGCAGTCATAATAATATACCCAGCATCAGAGATATCAGCCACAGCCAACATTTATTTTTCCAGGAAATACCTGCCCACTTCCAAATGCTTTCCTCCTCAGTCCAGGATCATAACGCAGTGTTCCAACTGTACTTCAAATTCAAACTTCCATTATTACCCGACTACATTTCCTCTGCTTGATTTTCTAAGATTATGAGAATCAGCTGATCCAGATTTGTCTTTTAAGACTTTTTAAAGACGGAAAAACTTCCCCCTTATATATTTCTTCCGCTTTTACTTTTTTTTTTCTCACATTCTCACATGTCACAGTTCAGAGTTAGACAAAGATAACCTGAGTCAATACAAGGTGCAGTTTTCTAATAATCATTATATTTACTGAGGAAAGAAGCTATGGAACCCAAACTTGACCCTTTGTAAATAAAGATAAGTCACAAAACCACATTTTTTTGGGTTCAGTGTCTCCAAACACACACAGGGATTATAACTGCAAGACTGGTAGAATCAAGAAATCATTTAAACAGGACCTGATTCCCAACATGCAGGATTACAGATCTGAAAAACGGACACAGGATGCCCAGATCAAACGATTTATAAGAACAGTTGTTAAAGGGCTACCAACTCCTTCTAAGGCTGTGAGAGTCCAGTAGACTCTATTAACAAATGGAGAAAACCTGAAACAATGGTTGAATTTCCAAAGAGTGGCTACCAAATCACTACAATAGTGCATCTAAGACATGCAGGAAGCAACAAAAGACCCCAGAATAATATCAAAATTACTGTAGCGCCTATTTGCCAGAGTTGGGGTAGGTGTTCATTATCTAATTATAAGAAGAAAAATTACATTAGAGGCAAAAAACAAAAAAAACAAAAAACTGCTGATCAAAAAAACAGAATTGGTTTATAACAAAAACTTTAATTTTTACATTTATAAGACCCTGGAAAAAATATCTTTGGGACTGGTAAAAATAAAAGCAGGGTTATATATTTGGAATTAAACATGTACTGTAGTGATAGAGCATTTGTCTGGGCTTTTATTGGCGCTTCAGGACCTTGGCGACTTAAAGTTTAAACTATAAATACTACGTTCTACCTAAAAATCCTTAAGAACAGTGCTCCTCCATTAGTTTGTGACCTTAAGCCCAAGTACACATTGGTTGTGCAGCCGGAGTTAACTACCGACTGGATGAAGAAAAGAAAAGAAGGTTTTAAAGTTTCTAAGTCAAAGTCCAACTTTAGGCAATCTGTGTCAACCACATCTGGTCGAATAAAAACAACTCTGCAAAGAAGAGTGGAACCAATTTCCTCTTACATAATCCTAACACTTACTGTCAGTTATCATTAAAAAAAACAATGCTATTTGCAGCCACAAAGTTTGGCAAACCAGTCATTAAAATGAGGAACAGTGATTAATTATTACATTTTCAATACAAGATGAGAAATGTGTTTAAAAAAAAAGTTATAATGTGGGAAACAAAAAAAATGCTCTTTATTTTTAGAGAATATAGATTTTTTTTTATCCTATAGATACATATCAGAAGTATTTTCCCAACTCATTTCATTATTTACAATGGAACATAAAAATGATCACACCTTAAAAGAATGTGTTGCAGCACTAAAGACATTTAGTCACTTCCTGGAACTGAGTGTTAACCAGAGGTCTTTGGGTTTGAGCCAAAAACAAACTTTATTTTGACTCAAAGTCAGGATGTCTGCTGCCCGTTTCTGCAGCTGGGTGATTAAACCCGATGCTAGCTGGCGAGCACATTTATACCATATAGCACTGTTGATCTAATGACCAACAAGCAAGGGCCTAGTGGGTCATGAATAACACAGTTAAGATGCAGATGCATTCACTCCCATGGTTTGTGGAATAATTGAGTCCATGCATGACTTTCATTCCAGCAGAGGCTGGGTGGGTGACACAAGAACGAAGCTTAGAGCACAAGCAGAAAAAAAACAAACGCCCACAGGCTGGAGACTGTGACACCGTAGCTCTGTGTGCAGGCCAGAATCCTGAAGGCTGAGAAGGTTATTAGTGTACTAGCATGTCTGTGGGATGGTAGCAACAGGATAACTAAATGTGAAAAATCTAAGAATAAATGTCTCATGGTAGTTGCAATAGGAAAACATTCAGAATTAAAATGATATAATCTAGATATAAAAGAATCAGATTAAAGAAATCTTAACATGATGCAACACTTTTTTTTTTGCAAAATTATTGCCATATATGATTTTTTTTCTCTTCTTGCTGTTTTTTTCTTTCTTTTTTTTGTTCAGTCATAAAAAATGAAGAAAAAAAATAAAATAAAATAAAAACAAAACTTCTAACCCCACTGCAAGGAACTGTGTTATAATGAACAAAGCCTAGCTTAGATTGGAATGTTTTTCCTTCTTATCAAATGTTAAGGATCTGTGCTTTAAACACTATGAATAATTAATAAAAGTAGACAGCTAAAATATTGATTTTGCTAGTGTCTATAAAGACCAAACCAAACAGGAACCTCTAACATGCCTCCAAACAGGTAAGGATGTATTCTCATTCATGAGGAACTAAAAGATTTCACATCTGCATAAAGAACTTAATGAGTTGACCTAACCTTGAAGAGAGAATATTACTTTGAAGCACTAAAATTCTTCTTACCTTTTAGATTTGTGTAAAACACAGAAGTAGTAGATTATCATAAACCATAAGCTCAGTTTCCCCACATCTCTAAGAATCGTGGTTAAAATTGCTTTTTCCATGGGGGAGTTAATTATGACTCAGAAATACCAAAAAGTGTGGCCTCACACCTGACGTAAAACAATGTCACGCTGTCTAGCTTCCCTTTAATCAAAGTCACATTTCAGCTGATTTCACAGGCTAAAGATGAAAGAGGTGCATTACAACACAAACAACAACTAAAATCTGACAGCATTCTTTTTAACACCACTACTGTGGAAAAAAATAACAAAGCAAGAGGTTTCAACTAACTTATGTTGCCACATTTAAAACAGGAAGTAGCGTGACTAACAGCTGCTGTTATGTAAGAAGTCGACAAGAATTATGATATTCAGTGATAAAGCATTTTAAACTGACCACAGAAACACTGCAACTGTTTAAACTCTGTTCTGATGATTTTAGTAACAGGATATTAAATATGTGGCACATCCATTATTAAAAACAAGATTAAAGCAAATAAAAAAATTTTTACCAAATACTTGTACATTTTTCAGTGTAGCTTTGGAGTAAAGAGCCTAAAATATTTCCAGATATTACTACCATTTCATCTTACTTTTGTGAGAAAAGATCACAGAAATTATTTAATTAGTTTGTATGAACATATCTGTGCTTTAGGACAGTAAAATTGCAAAAAATAACATTACATAATAACGGTCTTTGTTTCCCTGAAAGACAAAATAAGTGGAAACTGAATAAATTATTAACTGAATATATTTTTAACCTTGTTTATAGTATAAACAATATATAACCTGTGACTCTATAGCCTCACCATCCAGCCTCTTAATAGCTGCCAAATTTGATATGAATAGGAGAAAAACATGTAAGTATTTTTATTTTGTTTAATTTTTTTCCTCTATTTCTTTTTAAACTATGTGCTTTATTTTTTAGTGGGCAATTTAGGTTTCATTTTTTCATAAATATTTGAAGGACTCAATTTCTTTAAACCTACAAAAGAAAATTAGTAATAAATAAGTAATTTCTTTCTCAATTAAAAGAAATAATCATGGTAAATTACAATTATGAAGCATTAACAGTCAAACAAATGTTCATATAGTTACAGTGGTGAAAACAAGTATTTAAAACACTAGTGATTTTGCAGCTTTTCCCACTTTCAAAGCATATAGAAGTCTAATTTTTATTTACTCCTTATTGTAAGTGATGGAATCTAAAACAACAATCCAAAAAAAAAAAATCACAAAACATGTTTTTTTTTTTGCATTCTGTTGCATGGCATAAGTATTTTGATAAATCAGGAAAAAAAAATCCAAAGGAACCTTATTTTCAATCACAGCTATCCAGCATTTCCTGTAGATTTTAATGGGGTTTGACCTTGAGATCCTCCTTACCAAGCCATGCTTTAGCTCCCCTGGTTGTGTGCTTTGATTCATGGTCATGCTAACAGACTCAGCCAAGACCTATCTCCATTGCTCTAACAGACAGAACCAAGTTGTTGACTAAGATCTCCTGAAACAGAGCCCTACCCAATCCTCTCATAAATACAGTGAAGTTGTCATGTCCCCTTTCCAAAAAGCATCCAAAAAAGAATGATGTTTCTGCCTTCATGCTTCACCGCTGGGATGGTGTTCATAGAGTTGTATTCATCTCTCTTCTTCCACCAGACATGGTGATTGGAGTTTAGACAAAAAACTCAGCTTTGTCTCATTAGATCACATGAAACACTCCCATTAATCCTCTGGATCATCTAGATGGTTATTGGCAAACCTCCGGCAGGCTTGGACATGTGTTGGCATGAGCAGGGGGAATTCAATGAGCTGCAGGATATAATCCATGGTGGTGTAGTGTGTAACTAATGGTCTTTGAGTCTTCAGGTCATTGACAAGGTGAGGGATCAGCAAGTAGTTAAATTTAGATTGATGTCCAATCTAATAAATCCTTGATATCTGATACTGATCTTTTTGGCCTGATTCAAGTCAATATTGTTCTTGGTTCCCTCTGAATCCGCCAGGGTCATGGTGGGGCTGGTGCCTATCTACAGCAGTCTATGGGCGGAAGGTGGGGTTCGCCCGACACAGGTTGGTAGTCCATGGCAATCAATAAAAATAAAAAACAAGTAAAATGAAACATCAACAAAGAATTGTAAACAGAACAAACAACGATGTATGTACCTCATCTTATTGCCACATCGGTAGACATGACAAACAAAAAAATGCATGTGCCTCATGTGATCTCAAGGCATGGCTGCTGAATGCACTAATGAATTGGCCAACACATCCACACGCACAAACTCCATCTTGCACAGAGTTTCAGGCAGAGGGAGATTGACCGTCATCTTGAATTTCCTCTATTTTCTTCTAATTGCGTTAACCGTTGTTGCTCCCCTCTAAGCTGCTGCCTGTTTTCCTGAAGCCCATCCCAGCCTTGTGCAGGTCTACTATTTCTCTCCTGATGTTTTTACATAACTTACTGGTCTTGGCCATTTTGAAGATGATGGCGTTTGTTTGATACAGATATGACATGAAGGGGAGCATTTTATTACAAGTAATTAGTGGAGAAGAGAACGGCTTCCTAATGAACTAAGGCTACATTCGCATTTCAGGTCTTGATACTCAAGTACATTTTTTAGCTGAGAATAGATTTCTACTTGACATTCAGATTGCTATTTAAATGCGGCCACCAGGAGTACACTTCACAGCACCAATGCAACTTCCATGCTCAGTAGGACAGTGTAGATTTCACAAACTATGATTAAGTCCGCAGACTTCAAACTCATGAAGCCTGTTGCAGACGCTCCCATTTATTTCTCGTATTGTACTACTTTTATTACATTTGTTTCTTTTTCAAATTTTCATTTTTATGCTTTTTATTTAACTAAAACCTCACAATTTATCAATGAGGATAGTTACATTTTCTGCTGTTCTGCTTGCGGTGATATTGTTATAAAGAATTTTCTGCAAGGGATTAATATAGTAATAGTAAGTAAATGTTGGTAATCGGCCTGTTTTCCAGTGTAGTCCTGTTTCTCTGACTGTGACTGGCTGGATGTGCTCTCTTCATCCTCTGACATGGGAATTGGCTCGAGCTCGTCTGCCTGTGTGTTTCCTGGACGGAGCCGCCTTTTACAGTTGCTTTTTGTATCTCTGCTTCTGTCTCCTTGAACCCCAGTCGGCCTCTGCAGATGGCCGCTCACACTGAGCCTGGTTCTGCTGGAGGTTTCTTCCTATTAAAAGGGAGTTTTTCCTCTCCACTGTCGCTACAAGCATGCTTAGTGTGAGGGATTGCATCCGAGTCAATGAGTCGATGCAATCAACTGGTTTTCCTTAGATAGAAAACTTTGAATCGATTTGACTGGATGATTTCGTGAACTGTAAAGTGCCTTGAGATGACATGTGTTGTAAATTGGCGCTATAGAAATAAACTAAACTGAGCTGAACTAATTCTGATTCTGAAATTAGCGGCCTGTTTACAGAAGGAATAAAAGATGTCAGAATCTCCATGTTGTTATTATTATAACTTTTAGAACAATGGGAGCTGGAAAAATTATGATCATTTCATAAAAACAAAAAGAAATGTAAGAAGAAAAAGTGTTTTGGAGCAGCCACTGCTGTGTTGGAGAGGAGTCTTTCAAAACTATAAATATCCGATTTGGTATCACATATTGAAGTGGGACAATTCAGATTTGTTTGAAAAGAAGAGAAAAGATCAGAATTATGCTGTTCTGAATGTCATGATAAAGTGGAATAAGAGTCGCACAGGGGGAAAAAAATTAGATTGGGGTCACGTTTGCCTGCAGTGTGAACATAGCCCAACAGGCCTGTGGGAGCCACTATTCTCACTGACTGGTAGGCGACCAAATAATTCTGTCATTCAAGAAAATGATAATGAATTGCTTAAAAACCACACAATGAGATTTTCTGAATTTTTCTTTTAGATTCTGTTTAAGATTACTGATGATAAAATATGAAAAACTAGCAAAATCCGCAGTGTATTCAATATTTGTTCTTCTCTTTAGATACTTAGAGAATATTAAAAGAAATTATGCTTTTTCCAAAATCCAGTTTTCCAGCTCATGAACTTTATTTTCTTTTAAAAGGGACAAAATGGCTTTATTCCAATAATTTTCATAAAGAGTAACAAGCTTGATGGTTCAAACTGAGATGCTAGTCGATGGTTCTGTTACCGCTAACAGAGCGGACACTAAAAACATAAAAAGATGACCAATAAAAGTGCTGGAGACGTATATAAGATGCGTCAGTTATAAAACAGAAACTAGTTATAAATCAGCTTGAAAGAAACAAACTGGCTCTGGAACAAGCAAAACATTAGCCCTTAGAACTGAAAATTATATTTTACCAATCTTGATAATTTTAATGTAGGTGTTTATTTAATTGCATAATGAAAACATCCTTTAGTTTATCGTCAAACTTACGTTCAGAGTCTTCGCTGACATTTGGTGAGAAGCCATCTGATGACCACAGGACCAAAAGCTGCTCTAGTCCATGGCCTCAATGGCAGCAGAGGAGAGGAAGACTCTAGGGAAGCAGAGAATCCTACAAGCAGCACAAAATAAAGGAAATGTTAATATCTGAGAGACTTTTCCTGAATGAAAGCAAAATAGTTTTAAAATGTATCCAAATTCAAAATATGATAGTAAATTTCTATAAAAAACATTTTCCCAAAAAGACATCATTAGGGCTTAAGTTAGTAATTATTAAGGAAGAGGCTGACAGAGACACTGAAGAAGTGTTATGATCGAAAGTGTTAAAATGTGCTGCATGTTTTAATGTTGAAGACCACAGTTTATTGCAAGTCGTTCAAAGTTTAAATTGCTATTGTTTTGCTCCATTGCTGTAAACTTTACATTTAAGCAGACAATGTTTTATTTATCTAAAAGCAATGCTAAATGCACTAATTCAGTGCTACATTAGGCCCTGGACACAATAGCAGCTAAGACGGCTGTTATTATTAACTACTGTAAGCTAATATCGTTTGGATAGAAAAGGAAATGTTTTCTTTGTTTGTTTTAGAAATTAGTATCCTGTCAAAATGGAAGTAATATGACAACCAGAAACCGTAACAACGTGGTCCCAAGCATAGACATTAAGAGATGTGTCAATGTCATTTACAGTACACCCATAATTTTAATATGAATTGTAAAAATTAAGAACCCAAAACTTGAGAAGCACCTGTAGTGACATTTAGATAACAATGGGAGAGGCTGCAGGAAATGGCTGCTCTGAAAATTTAAGATACCACGATCTACAGGGACAAATGTCTTCATAAAAAAATGAATTTATAAAAACTGCAGCACCAAAAATTTTGATCGTGACGAATGCTTCCATAGAATAATTTTGAACTTAATTAGAAAGATTTTATATTACAGAAAATATTCTCCCACCGAAAAACTTTTCAAGTAAAAGTAGGTGACTAGATTTGTGTGGTGCCACAAAAGCTATTTCAACACAACATTACACACAGATGCTGCAGCTCTTTACATTAAGATATAAGATGGTTTGTTCTATTTATGTTTGCACCAGATGAGCAACAACACTTTTATCTTTGATCTTGTGTAGAGAGTGAAGTTTCACACAAACAGCGACCCTTGTCACCACTTTCCCAGCTCTGGTTTACCTTTAAGTTTCAGTGCTGCACAGCAACCTACTGCACTTAGTACTAGAAGCTTTAAAGTAAAACATCCATCCATCCATCCATCCATCCATCCATCCATCCATCCATCCATCCATCCAT